GGATATGTAAGCTAAATAAACCCTTTCCTCCCCAAGTTGGTAGTGGTCAGAGTGTTTTGTCACAGCAATGAAGAAACAAACCAGAACAGAAATAGAATCAGCTCCCTCTCAACTAGCCAAACTACTTTGCTGAACATTTAAAGGACCTCAAATTACACACACACACACACACACACACACACACACACACACACATGCACACTCTGAAGTAGAGGCATGTATTGTATTGCTCATGGCAAAAAACAAACAAACAGGAAGCAGCGTATTACCCATCAATGTGAAACACTTGAATAAATCATCCAGCTGATTCTTGTGTTTGATCTCTAGTAGGTAAGTAAGTGTGTGCTGATCTGGAGAGATGTGCATAAAGCACTGTCAAGAAAAAGCAAATTGCTAAGTGCTTTATAATGTGATCTCATTTCTTTAAAGGAAAGAGGAAAGAGTACACGAGTTTGTGTGCACATTGGAAGAACCTGGGGAGAAGTCTAGAACACCTACCTGCATTACCATTGGCTACCTCATAGTGGCAGGGTAGAAAGAGGTGGCCTTATTCTTTCTATGGCACTAGTTTGCATAGCAGTATAAACTGTGTGATTTGACATGCTATAATGCTTTCAGTGAGTCCAGTAACTACTATATCCAATTTTTAAAATTTCTACCGAGTAGTGTAAAGTGTGGCGGGGGAAGGATCCACTGCTTCGATGGAGTCATTTCTTAGACTGGACACAGACAAGGTGCTCACTCAAGTTTCCCCAGTAACTAACTGGTTTGAGGCAGTCACTTCCTTTCTTTGGGCTTCACCTACTTAATGAGGACACTAAAGTGATGATCTTTTTGATCCTTCTAAAACTGTAAATTACAACAAATTCCTATGTGCAGAGGATGCTGTCTTGGGGATGTGTTTCCCATCAGAAGAGTTGGTACCTCTATTGGGGTTAGAGGTGGGGAGACTGTAGGATGAAGCTGAGTTGACCACAGGGAAAGGTGCATCACCTCTTTGAGTCATGATTGGCTCTCCAAGTACTAAGTACCGATTAAGGCATGGTGAGAGTCTGCCACAGCATTTGGCAGTTTCCTTCTCTCCTCAGTAATGACTTTGGCATGGAAAAAGAAGAGTTGGTATAGAGAGAAGAAAAGAATAGCAGTTGCATAAGGAATGGCTCCTCTGCCTCGGGGAACAGTCTACCACTCGCAGGCAGCCTGCAGCTCCAAGGAGAGAAACAAAATGGTGGCCCTGCCCTGGAACAGGCCAGGCCAGGTAAAGCCCTGAGCTCCCAGGCAACCCCTGTTGCCCCTGTAGCTTTTTGGCTGTATGTTGTCACCAGGGCCCATCTGCCCGCCCTCTTACCACTGAAAAAGATGAAAATACTCACCAAGGACTAAAAGGCGGATGCGTGACCTGGAGGTACCAACCAAATCTGACATCAGTGAGACGGAGCACTCGTAGGTGCCATTGTCATCCATGGTCAGCTGGTCGATGGTGATGGAGGCATCTGACTTCTCAGGATTGCTAGATACCCGCACACGGTTGTCATACAGGTCGCCATAGATATAGCTTTTTGACAAAAACTTCCAAGTGACCACTCTTTCCTGAGAGGAAGAAGAAATGCCGCCAGGCCCTGGCATGGGCCTGTCCTGACTACCTTCACCTTCCATCCCCAGAGCCCAGATGCATAGACCAACAGTGTCTTGAACAGATGTGAGGAGCCCATTGGTAGATTCCTTTTATTACTCAGCTAGCTATCCTTGTTTAAAGATTTACTTTTAAGTGAAAGTATCAGGGGCCAGAGATACAGCTCAGTCGGTAATGTTTGCCTAGCATATATAAAGCCCTGGATTTGATCCCTAGCTTCATATAAACCTGGTGTGGTGGTACACACCTATAATCTCAGTACTCAGAGGTAGAGGCAGGAAGACAGTTCGAGATCATTCTTGGCCACATAACAAATTCTAGGCCAGTCTAGGATACATGAAACAAGAGAGAGAGAGAGAGAGAGAGAGAGAGAGAGAGAGAGAGAGAGA